AACAGTGCTGGTCTCCCTTCAGCACTCACCCTATAACAGTGCCTTACACCCTTAGTACTGACCCTATAACAGTACTGGTCTCTCTCAGCACTGACCCTATAACAGTGCTGGTCACCCTCAGCACTGACCCTTTAACAGTACTGTTCTCCCTCAGCACTGACACTATAACTGCGCTGGTCTCCCTCATCACTGACCCTATAACCGTGCTGGTCTCCCTCAGCACTCACCCTGTAACAGTGCTGTTCTCCCTCAGCACTGACCCTATAACAGTGCCTTACTCCCTCAGGCCTGACCCTATAACAGTGCTGGTCTCGCTCAGCACTGACCCTATGACAGTGCTGGTCTCCCTCAGCACTGACCCTATAACAGTGCTGGTCTCCGTCAGCACGGACCCTATAACAGTGCTTTACTCCCTCCGTACTGACCCTATAACAGTGCCTTACTCCCTCAGCACTGACCCTATAACAGTGCTGGTCTCCCTCAGCACTAACCCTATAACAGTGCTTTACTCCCTCTGCACTGACCCGATAACAGTGCTTTACTCCCTCCGTACTGACCCTATAACAGTGCCTTACTCCCTCAGCACTGACCCTATAACAGTGCTGGTCTCCCTCAGCACTAACCCTATAACAGTGCTTTTCTCCCTCTGCACTGACCCTATAACAGTGCTTTTCTCCCTCAGCACTGACCCTATAACAGTGCCTTACTCCCTCAGCACTGACCCTATATCAGTGCTGGTCTCCCTCAGCACTGACTGGAAGATGCAATCCTCCCTCAGTACTGACCGTGCAGCATTCCTTCATTACTGATCTTCCAATACTGCAGTGCTCTCTCAGTATTGACCCGCTGACAGTTCCGCACTCCCTCATGTCCTGCACTATAATGTCAACCTGGATTATGTGCTTAAATCTCTGCATTACAAGCATTTGACTTTCTTGCCCATGAGTGAGGCTGCTAGCAGCTGTACCAAGACTGTAAATACATTGCTTGCTCATCTCGTTACTTCCCATTGTTTGTTTTGCTTCTTTGTTGATCTCTTTGATATCTTGTTGCTAACTTTTCAAAACTAAATGTTTGAAAACTTAAAAGTCCAGTGGGAGAAGGTAGCAAAATTGGACTGGTGCACAGACTTCTGCGCTCTTGGATTCTATGATTCAAGGCACATCTGCTTCTAAGATTGTTCCTGTAGTCAAATATTGTTAACTTCAGACACTTCTTGGCACTGCCTATTTGCCAACATCACTACTTGGCACATTTCAGGATGATGTTTTTCTCTTATTATGATTCCTTTGTTTATTTAACATTCTTTGGCTTGGAAGTGTGTGGCCTCACATTTCATATCCAATTTCCATTATGCATGGTCTTTGGCTGACTTTTCTCAGAGTTCTGAATGGCTATCATAATTACTCATACTATTGTAAAAGTTAGTTACATTCTATCTTTGATACAGTTTCCTCCAGCACTTCTCAAAGAGGGGGATTAGAAAGCAAGTAGATGCTTGCTTGACAGAGATGTTCTTAAAGTTTGAGGAATGCATTTTATATGTTGAATGATCTAGGAAATCAATGTTTCAGTGCCATTTCTCCTCATTTTCCACACTTCAGCAGTCTGAGACCGGGATGAAGTTAAGATGCTGGAGAATCCCTCCTCCCCCTGAAGTGAGATTCATTTGCATTCAATACAGAATCCTGGAATGAATCGCGCTGAAGGAGGCTATTCAGCCCATCAAGTCCATGCCCCACGCATTCCCCATATCCCTGAATGTGTTTCTCCTTCAAGTCTTTGTCCAATTCCCTTTTGAAGATAACTAGAGAATTTTGTGTCCATTGCACTGCGAGGCATGCTTTCCAATTTCTAACAATTCATTGTATTAAAATTAGTTTTTCTTCACCTTGTCTCTTTTTTTGAGCCCATTACCTTAATCCTAACATCTCTGGTTATTGAAATTCCAGCCATTGGAAGCAGTTTCTCTGTATATGCTCTACGTAGATCCTGCATCATTTTAAATACCTCGATCAAATCTCCTCTCAGCCTTCTTTACTCCTAGGAAAGCAACCCCAGATTTTCTAAGATAACAAGGTGTAGAGCTGGATGAACACAGCAGGCCAAGCAGCATCATAGGAGCAGGAAGGCTAACACAGGTATGATGCTGCTTGGCCTGCTGTGTTAGCATTCCTGCTCCTATGATGCTGCTTGGCTTGCTGTGTTCATCCAGCTCTACACCTTGTTATCTCAGATTTTCCAGCATCTGCAGTTCCTACTATCCTAGATTTTCTAATCCATCCACACAATGGTAATTCCTCTATTATCATTCTAGCATTCTTTACAGTGTTCAATTGAGTTCATCCGGGCCAAAGAACTTTCATTTTAACAACCTCTTGCTGAATAGAGATCTAAATTAGTTTAATACAGGGCAATCATTGTAATTGGCAGGTAAATGAATGCAACAGCAATTTAACCATGCTTTCCCCTTGAAGGGAGTCTTGTATCTAGCAAAAGACTGGTCAGCAGATGGAATTATTCTGCTTCATGGTTCTGTATTTCAGTGGTCTAACAGCCTTCCATTTAAAATCTAACCACGTAGACAACACCAAACCATAGACATTCCTGTAGTCCTCACAAGTCAAGAGTGGAAATTAGAAGATAGAGAGATAACGCAAAAGGATGTCAGGGTGAATCATAACAGAAAGAATGTGTTTCTTCCAAAACAGCTGGATTATTTAAACGGTCTGATTTCCTGCCCAAAACCTTTCTACTATGCACATCACTCACTAAATGAGATCATTTGTGGTATGGGAGAGCAGTAGTTTTGTGAGGAAAGTATTTAACTCCAGGAAATGTTGTTACTGGGAAGCGAAAATCAAATGCAAAGACACCTTTTTTTCAGAATGAAAAGACAACTTGAATGAAGAAAAAGACATTTAACCACTAATGAATTAGAACGAAACATGATTCAAGTTCTTACTCCAGTTAGTCCTACATTTGGCAAGTTAGTTGTATGGTCTGAAAGTTTAGCAACTGAATGTTCCATTCTTATAACTGCACATCTGGCTATAATGGAAGAAACTTTAATCATATTAAAGCCACTTGTCGGCAGTTTTCCATGCCCTGGACCAAAACTGAGTAAATATGAGTCAGTGTTTGAATGTGGTTGAGGCGTGGGATATAAAGACTGAACGCAGCAAGGAAACGGCAGAGCAAGAGAGAGAAGCAGCTCCTTTACTCTGAGAAAGCAGCCAGCTGATCACACAAGAGGCAGAATGAAAGCCTTCCTCCTCACCATTGCTGCAGTGCAGATTCTCCACTGCTCAGGTAGGTACCAGAGACAGCAGCACCCCATTGAGCAACAAGTTATTGCCATTGAGGCTCACTCCTTGAGATATCACCAATGTGTAAAAATAACTCGCTGAAGAATCCAACACGAGGTACTTCAGCTATTTGCTTAGTTGAAAACTGAGCAGCAACAGGCTATTCCTGGAGTGTTTTGCACAATTTTCCTTTTTTTCTTCACAGGAGTACCAAACCCTGAGGACGCTTTGCGGGCAGCTGTTATGAAGCTGAATGAAATAAGTGAAATCAGTCACCTTTGCCGTACCATCAGCAGCACAGTGATAGATGTAAGTGTGTCCTGGTCTCAGTCTGTTTCACTCTCTAAAGTCTACAGGAATGTTATTGAGTGCAGTTCAACACGAATTATCAATCGGAACAGGATGGTATATTACACACTGACGGCGATCACAGTTCAGGAATGTATATCGTGATTCAGTGTACAATTTTGAAATTCTGACTGGGGAATTAGATTAACCTGTTGCGAGTGAGGTTAGAATTTCTTCCAAGCTATATATCTAAGAGATCATAGCTGTTTTATAGCCTTTACTTTTTAACGCTTTGCAAATAAATACAGATTAAAGTTTGAAGCTTGAGTTTCAACTCCCTCTGGTTGATGGATCCCAAGGTGATGTTGGATTTGAAATCAAGTTGATCACACCCTGTTCCCACGCAGTTACCACACTTCCTGAGGCTTGTGCTCAGCTCTCCTTAGGCAGGAGGCTCATCAATGCAAAGAGTTTGTCCTATGAATGGACTCCTGGGCTGAATGTAGGTGCCATCCTGCTGAGCAGGAGGAAGACAGTGGTATTCAAGTAGTCTTTCCCTGGGCAGATTTTGTAGAAAACTGTCCTCACCAGGCTGCCCTCTCCCTGACACAACACACACACACATACACACATCCCATCTCAATCAAAGACCACAATGCCCATTCCAGTGCATTCCCCCGCCCCCACCTCCCCCCCACCCCGTATTATCACATCCAACCCTCTCCCATCACACCCAACCTACACCCCATCACCGCCCGCTCACACAATCAATGAAGTACAATGCCCACTGCCAACTCTCGGTCTCCTCTAGCCCCACCCGCCCCTCACCGATTGCTACCCCTTGATTACACTTCACTTATCACTACCCTCCCCAGCCCTGTCAATCCCTTCATGACCATGGAGCAAAATCTTTACTGACTGAGGTGGCCTTTAGAAGGTCTAATGCAGTGAAGCCAGAGTGTTCAGTTTGAAGATGGACAGAGTACCCCAACCAGAGGAGTGCGGTGGTCACTCCATCCAACCAGCAATATGATGCAGCATGCAGCTGAGGTACCACAAAGACCCTGTTCAGCCCTAAGATTATGATACAATATTTAAATATGTTGAGATATTTAGGTCAGATAATGAAAGGTTTTGGTCAAATTGGTAAATTTTAAGGCAGAATCTTAAACATTAAAAAAAAAATCAAAACTAGGAGCAGAAGGCCATTTGGCCCTTAAAGCATGCTTCACCATTCAGTATGGTCATGGGTGATCACCCAACTCAGTGCCAATTTCTCTCCATTCACTTTGAACCTTTTATCACTAAGAACTACATCTATTTTCTTTTTGTAAACATTCAATAATTTGGCCTCTGTGGCAGAGAAAGGCTCATCATTCACCAGTGAAGAAATTTCTCTTTGTTTCAATCCTAAATGATCTATGATGTATCCTTAGATTGTGACCACTGGACCTCAATCATAGAACCCCTACAGTGTAGAAACAGGCCCTTCAGCCCAACAAGGCCACACCGACCCTCAGAGCATTCCACCCAGACCCATCCCCCGAATCTACACATCCCTGAACACTATGGGCAATTTAGCATGGCCAATCCACCTAATCTGCACATCTTTGGAATGCGGGAGGAAACTGGAGCACCTGGAAGAAACCCACGCAGCCACGGAGAATGTGCAAACTCCACACAGACAGTCACCCGAGGGCAGAATCGAACCTGGGTCCCTGGCACTGTGAGGCAGCAGTGCTAACCACTGACACACCGTGCTGCCTCTAAACGTCCTGGACTCCCCGGTCATCAGGAACATCCATCGTGTGTTTACCCTGTCTAGTTCTGTTAGAATTTTAGAGGTTTTATGAGATTTCCTCTCATGCTACTGAACTGTAGTTAACATAGGCCTAACCAATCCATTCTCTCTTTACACATCAATCCTGCCATTGTGGAATTAGTCTGGTGAATCTTTGTTGCACTCCCTCTGTTGTCAGTACATCCTTCCTCAGATAAGGAGATCAAAACTGCACACAGCATTCCAGGTGTGGTCTCACTAAGGCCCTGTACAATTGCAGCAAGTCATCCCTGCCTGTGTATTCAAATTCTTTCAGTATGAAAGCCAACATATCATTTGCCTTCTTCACCGCCTGTTACACCTACATGCACAAGGACACCCTGGTCTTGTTGCACCTCTCCCTTTCCAAGAAAGGAAAGCCAGATAAAGAGATAGAGAGGTTAAATAGAAAGAACTCCAAAGTTTAAAGCCCAGGAAGTTTAAGAGATTGCTGCCAAAGTTGAAGAATTATAACTGTGGGAGTTCAGGAAATCAGAATTAGAGGAATACAGATATAGCGGAGGGTTGTAGGGCTGGATTGCAGAGATAGGGAGAGTTCAGGGCCTGGAGGGATTTGAAAACAAGGATGACAATTTAAAAACTTAATAAGTATTACTTTGCTAACAGATCTGTAAGCACAGGGTGATGGATGAATCCCTCAGAGGTGGCAGAGTGCTAAAGAGACAGCATTAGAAAAAGCTAAGCCTAGAGATAACAAAGGCATGAATGAAGGTTCAGCAGGACAAATATGACAAGCACATATTGTCATACTATTAAGACCTGGATGAGAATTCAAGCATAAGGATACTGTTCTACATTGTACATCGCCACCCACCATTCGTAAGGACATAATAAACTGAAACAGAAATAGGCCATTCAGCCCCTCAGGCCCGCCCCATAATTCTAGATCATGACTGATCAGCTTCAACACCACTTTTGTGCACTGTCCATATATTCTTTGATATTGTTATTTTGTCGAAATTTATTGATCTTCGTCTTGAACAGCCAAGGCTCTACAATGCTCTGGGGCAGAGAATTCTGGAAATTCATCACTTGCTGACTGCAAAAATTCCTCCTCATGATCATCTAATTTGTCACAGTTCAGCATATAGAGTTTTAATGGATTTTTATAACATACACCGTGTACAGGCCAAGTTGTATTTCATTGACTCAAGGCCAGTGAGCAGGGAATCTGTCCAAATGACTCCTGGCCAGAGAGTTGAGCTTTGGGTGAAGATCTTTTGTTGTTGCCTGCCATGATAGTTTTCTGACAGCATCACCATTTACCATGAACCATCTGGAGGAGATCCATCGACAAGACACTAATGTAGCCATTCATCTGATGGAGAGGCAGTTATTCAGGAAGCAGGAAACCTCCCATGTTGTAGAAATGACAAAGAAAGATAGGAGCTGGAGTAGACCATTCAGCCCCTCGAGCCTGTTTCACCAGTCTGGATCATGGCTGATCATCTACCTCACCCCCATAATTTTACAAATCCCTGGAGCCACTTCCCAGTCCCTCACCATTTAAGAAATACTCTGAGCCTCTCTCCCTCCTACAAAAGTGGATAGCCTCACGTTCATCCACATTATGTTCCAGCTGCTATACATTCCATTTAAACCGGCTCGAAGCCTCTTTGAATCCTTTATGCATCTCACATTCCCCTCTCCTATAATCATCTGCAAACTTGGAAATATTACAACTGGTTCCCTCATCTAAATCATTGATCTAAATTGATGAGAAACTGAAACTTCAGTACTGAATCCTTTGGGCATCATTTTGGTCACAGCCTGCCAACCTGAGTATTATCCCTACTCTCTCTGCCTGTTAACCAATCCTCAATCCATGCTGGTATATTGCCCCATTCCATACATTTTCATTTTGTTTATTAATGCCCTGTGTGTGGCTTTATCCAAAGGCTTCCAGAAACTCAAACACACCACATCCACTAGTTTCCCTTATTGACATTTCCAGTATTTATCTGTATACATATACTATTAACTGATAAATCTCAGAACATAATCAATCATACTTCTTGAGGACATATATCTAACATCTATTCCTTCATCTAGCTTTCTCCCACTGGAAAATTCTCCTACAACGTGGATTTGGCATTTTCTGTGAAAGAAACCGTCTGCTCCAAAAATTCTGGGCTCGAGTTTGATGATTCTAGCTGCAGTTTCCGGCCCACAAAGATTGCTGTAAGTAACCGAGTTCGTGATGAGAAAAACATTTCTGCCTTCATTTCTTCACCACCCCTGCTAACGTGAGTGGATTGCTGTGAAATGCACACCCAAGTGATGACAAACACTTTGTTTGTGAGCGCCAAACTCATTCACCAGGCGTTTATTTTTTTTAAACCAGAGGCTCACATGGGCTCACTTTGCAGGATCAGCAACATATTTTCTTCATTATAGAGCGAATGAATGGTCTTATTCAGTGGAGCTTTGTCACACCGGAGGCAGGGCTGCTTCGTGGTGGTTGAAGTCGTTCAGCTTCATGTGAAGTTGTGTTGGCTGTTCTGAGCACTGTGACCGGATGTGTTCAAAGTTTGCAACGGTTACCTGTTGCTTCCTACAGAGGGTTTCTATTTATCCAAAACGTGTGCGTCAGAGCGAATGAGGGGAGGCAACTGCAAACAAACCTATCCTCATTGGGTGTGCCGGTGAGGTAGAAGAATGTTCCTTTCAGAAATAACTCCATTTAGTTGACGGTATATTTCAACCCTTAGGGTTAACAGGAGATGGACTTTGTGTTGTCAAGTGGGTAGGATAATTCTTATGAATTTGAATCTATTCTGTTTCTCATGTCTGGGCTTTATACCCCGTCCACAACAATATTAGGAATTATAGTTCGTAATTTTATTTCACGACAAAGTTAAAACATCCATGCAAATAGAAGCAGTTTCAGCAACAAGAGGCCATTTAAGGCAGTATCATGGGTGCCATGAATCTACTTTTTGTGCTCACTAATGTAGTTTTCATGGGAAAATTTCCAATTTTGTTCTAATGTCAATATTTTTACTCCATTTTCTGGTGCTGTAAAAACAGAACGCATCACTGAAGAGCACAGAAGGACTGATCCAGTTAACTCTTTCTTGGCTCTCATTTATGTCAGCGATATTGTTGGGGCTTAGACCCACTCTGGGATTCTGGGATAACTGCTGACACCAACACAATGGCTGGAAGCCAGCAGAGAAACCAACAGAGCTCTGCAAGACTAGGAGAGAATGGCAGTGCATGTTGAGGGATCAAACGTTTTGTATGGAATGTCAGACCACCCTCACCCTCTCACCCCTATGTCTAATCTGTAAGGCACCAATTTTCCATTTTCATTCCAACAATTTCTGAGTGGAACTTGAGTAAGTGGAGAAGCAAAATGAGGGAGGGAATCTCACTGTCCCCCTTTCCCAGTACCTCCTCTCCAAGATATTCATCTACTGATGTCCATTACTTGCTAATGATCACTGGAAGGAACGGAAATATTTTTAAGGGCAAATTGTCATTTGAGGCCCTGGCGCGTTAGAGACAAGCTTCAAGGAACAACAGAGCAGCAGGAGAACCACACTGCGCAGCAAATCTCCAAAGTCTGCTGCTCTAGATATGGTAATCCCAACATCTCCACTCCCAAAAGGCAATCTGTTCAATGCACAGCAGTGGCTCGGAGGCCAGAAATTTGTCCAGGACCAGAGAATCCATCTTTGAGCCAACAGAAGTCCCAGGTCCACAAAGATTGGAATTAAATGCCTGGAAGCTTGATTTTTGTGAGCAAGGGGCAGTGTGACGAAATGGTGGCACTGTAGTTAGCGCTGCTGCCTCACAGTGCCAGGGACCAAGTTCAATTCCAACATTGAAATTCCAACATTCTCCCCATGTCTGTGTGAGTTTCTTCCAGGTGCTCTGGTTTCCACCTGCAGTCTAAAGATGTGCAGTTTAGGTGGATTGGACATGCTAAATTGCCCTGTAGTATCCATCGATGTGCACATGAGATGGATTGGCTATGATAAATGTTAAGGGGATAGGGTGGGATGCTCTTTGGAGAGTTGGGGCAGACCCTCTTTGAACTGTAACGATTCCGTGATTCGAGGCTGATGGGTGAGTAGCATCATTTACTCATGTGGGAACGTGTGCAATGGAGAGCCTGTCAACTTCCCAACTCTTCCCAATTAAATCTGGGTCAGGAAGGTTCGGAATAGCCAACTGAAACCACATAAAAGGCCTCCTCCTGCCACCTCTGCAGTTATGGTGAAATTATGTGGGCAGGCCACCCTGGCAGACCTGCCCTGCAGGGATAGTCAGAGACTATCTTCTACTCAAGTACCCTGTGATCTATGGTAGGATCCTCCAGTGGCAAGTGCCAACCCCATGGCAGGACTCCTCACTGCCCTCCAAACTTAGGCCCCTCTGTGGCATGCCCGACCAACCACAGTTCTCCAGCCAGTGGACAGGCCCAACACGGCAACTAATAAATCCAGCACAAACATGCTGAAAGCAATGGAAGAAGAGAAGACCCATTCTGTCAATCCTGCGTAATTGTGAGGCCTCACAAAGCACTAGATAGCAACATCCCGACACTGCCTGAAAATCATGTATATCGGAAAAGATGTGAGCTGGAGAAAAACTCAGGCCACTTAAGGAGAGGGAAATCTTAAATATTGTTTTTTGTACCTTCCCATTGGCTCTCTCCACCAGGTCTTGCCCCTGACTTCTACAACTTGATTTTACACCAATGTCTCGGAAACCCAAGAGAAAGTCATGGTCGTTTTGCAAAGTACCAGTGCGAATAAAGGACCACTAGCTCAGACTCTGTTTCTTCAGGATGTACCAATGCAGCAGCAGATATGAAGATTCAGGATTTGGAAAACATACACAGCAATGCTCACCCCTGATGTGGTTTTGTTTCTACAGGAGACAGCTACATGCAGGAGTCGTGTTAAATATTTAGCTGATGAGGTACTCGATGTTGATGTTGAATGTCATGGCTTCAAAAAGGCCAGGGGCAATGGAGACTCGCTGGAGAGGCAGAGGAGTGAAAGTGAAATACGCAGAGGCAACAAAGAGCAGAGTGACATTTTTCAAGGAGGGAAGGTTCACAGCAAACCCACCAAAGGCAGAAAAGGCCACAGAAAACAATCATCAAGGGCCAGTCATAACAGAGGATCATCAGAATTGACTAACAGCAGTGAAGAGGTAAGCTGTCAATCTTTAGAAGTTTTCTTTTCGTCAAGTGATCGTGGTCTGTTGTTCTCCCACCATCTTAAGTACAAAAAAAGTGAAGAGCATTACATTTCAAAACAAACAAAAGTGGTGCCCGAATCAAATATGTAATCATCCCACTCCTCCAATCTACAATATTTTCTAATATTGCATTCTGCAAAGCTTTATCAAGGGCTTTCCTAAAATCTGTATATACTCCATTGTCCAATTTCCCCCAACTAACACAAGTGTTAGCTTCTCAAAGAATTCTATGAGGTTTACCAAGCACAGCTGATCCCACTGAAACCCCTGTTTACTATTCCTAACTCTTTCCCTCTGTTTAAGCAGGTGGTAATTTCATGATGAATGCAAAGTGTTTTTTTTTATTTAAATGTTGGAGTGATTTGGTGTATTTGCTGTGAGGCGCATTTTCCAGTTCCTGTACAATTGTTAAATGGAACTCACAATGGCAATATGTTGGTTTATGGTGTGCCCATTAGATTGAACTGGGGAGAAATTACATTCTGAAACCTGTAGTGGTGAACAGACTCCCTGCTCCCTATCAGTTGGCTGTCATGGGAAGCCTCGCTGTTCTAGTCATGAGCCAAAATATAACGCACAGATTAGGAGCCTCCATCCTTTTGTTCATTCGCCATTACAATTTATAAGTACTAACAGATTGTATCATTCTTTCACATTCTGCACTTATTGATAACGGGCTCAGATTAACCTAATTGGAGGATCTTAAAGATTTGCTGGAGACACACTGGCAACATAATAATACCACCATGTCCCGACTTCTGTGGGACGAGGATGAATGTGAATTGTCTCCTGGCCAAAAAACGGTACTCACCAACTATTCATAATGCTGAGTTGCCTATTCTTCCTTTTCAGTCTGATCTTACAGATCAAATGCATAGAGCATCATCTAGTTTACCCTCACCCCCCATAATTCTCTTGCCCCCAATTGGTGCTGCCCAAGTGCTGGTTCAGTATCCAAAGTTAACTATTCTCTACAGATACGGCACAAATGACACAGGCCTCACAGTAAGGATTACAGTTTAGTGTGCTCTACCGTTTGCCTATCCACTCAAAATACAAATTGGCCCCAATTTATTATTTATTGCTCAGTGCTAAAGCAAAAGCAGCCCAAGCAGGTGAGAACCGCCCCATACTACAACAACTTGTATTAAAGTAGGGAAAATAGATGGATGATTTTAAGAAAGGAATTCCAGAACTTATGACTTTTACAGATGAAGGAACTGCTGAAACTGAAGTAGTGACCAAAATAAGGAATATGCAAGAAGTCAAAATTGGAAAACAGATATCTCAGAGAGTTGTGAAGCCAGAGGAGTTTATAGAGGTGGGGTGGGGGGGCGGGAGGGAGTGGGGGTGGGTGAAGCCATTATCATTAAGAATATGAACAATGTTCCACCATCACAAATTCAATATCAATGTTTCAGGGGAGCAAAGCTGAACTGTAGAAAGATTCCCTGACAGAAACGACTTGCTAAATCAATCTGAATAGATGATTATTACAAAACAATGTTCCCACTGTCACCTCTAGGACTTGTAACAGTTAGAAAATATGCTTGCAGAGAACTGGCCCTTCTCAACACTAAGCTATTGCAAAATGGTTAAGTGCAGCCCATATTATTCCAGGATTCATTAATCTGGTAAATGCACTATATGTTAGTGTTCTATCCTTGTAATCACCTCAAGTCCACCAAACCTCCAAGATATCTGTTGTGCATTCCCAATTTTAATCCCTCAAGCATTAGTGGCTGTGCCTTCAGTTGCCTAGGCCCTAAGCTTTTAAATTCTTTCCCTAAACCTTTCGCTCTGTCTACCTTATTTTCATCTTCTGAGGTGCTCCTCAAAACATAACTCTTTAAACAAGCTTCTGGTTACCTGTCCTATTATTTCCTTAGGTGGCTTGGTGTCATACTTTGTTGTATCGTGATGAACTTTGGGACATTCATTACATTAGTGCAATATAAATATAAACTGTTGTGTTGAATACAACCATTCACCTAAACACTGAGCAACAATCACACATCTACAAAGTAGGAAATCTACTCTTATAGCTATGTTATGTTATTTCATTTATATCTTTTGTTTGGAAATCATTTTGAAGTTTGGTTCCCTGGGTTAAATATCTTAATATTTCAATGCAGCTGAAAATGACATCAAGGGAATCATGGATGGAGGAATCTCTAAACGTGAGTAAGCTTGGACTTTGTGTCAGAGAATTACCTCTCAATCATGATCATCAACAACAATAAAGCTTTGAACTCAGACAGAGCTCTGTCCATCTGAAAATGAACATTTTTTCATTCTGTTAATTCCAGGAATATGATGATTCAAGATTCCGACACTAACCCAAGATAAATCTTCTGGAACGTTAAGCTTGGTGTGAACACAAGAAGACCTCATTTCGATTAAAGAAGATATTATCATATATTGTTCATATATCAGGAAAAACATGTTACGACAACAAAAGTTTTCTGCGCTTTGTATATGGCCTCATCTGTGTATTGTCTTTCATGTTAATGCTCATATGATGAACAACACGATAAATGTTCCCTGGCACTCTTCAAACTGATGTTACTTTTCATTTCACTGGTAAACTTAGGAATTCTAGTGCGGAGAGTGAGCAATCTGCCTGCCACACAATGCCAGATTTCCTCCGTTTAACATGCTCTACTAGGTCTTTCGCTACAAAAGAACAGGAGTGGGGAGAAGGACAATTGAAATGGGGAACTTCACACTTTATTTCCCCAGTATGGAAATTTGAAAATGCCTGCACGGCGGAAGTGAATTGTGAAATTAGTGCCCTGTATCATGGGTAGAAGTTGAACAAAGACTTTGGCTGTGCCCTGTCTTATTGGAACCACTTCTCCTAAAATTGGTGTTAAGTCCCAATCAAGCCTGCTGTGCAACTTGTCTCAGTCTCCAGATTTGCAGGGAGGGAATTTATAAAAACAGAAAACTCATAGCAGGTTTGGGCCTGCATGAAAAATGAAAAGACAATAGTTTTTTGTCTAAGTGGTCTCTAGGAGTTTCTGTGGGCAATTAGTTCAGAAAACAACGTACAAAAGAATGGGAGCCCTCTTTTCCAATGAGTATCGTGTGAGAGGTAAAGTGGCATTACCAGAAAGTTGACAAAACAGCCCTCGCTGTGGAAAGTCAACACGCTCAGTCCATGTAGCCTCAACACAGCAGTCATTGCAAGCGAGGGTGCAGTGAAAGGATGTGGACAGAGTGGCGGCGATCATTGTTATTTACCCTGTTATTTGTTTATGCTGCTCTTCAGTTATCTTCGTCAGATGCATATTTAGAATTGGACCTCTCTATTCTATCCCCAAGTGCAGGAGTTGAGACTTCAGATGATTTACTTCTCCAAATCCACACTGTTCCACTGTCATAGTGCAGTGTGAGAGAGAGAGTTAGCCAATTACCACCAACCATCATTTAGGAAAAGAAAAGATGCCTTGAGACCAGTTAAATAACTAAGGAGAGTGCTCCCTGTTTGTTGAATTGTTCTGATCACATCTATATTTTTTTAAGGCAATCTACTCTGTTTAATTGAAATTTGATCAATAAATTGATGATTTTATGACTCATATAATACATGGCCCAGTTTCCGTTTAATGAATGTCATCTCAGATCACATATAGTGACATTAATTTTTCTGTAACCATTCTCTCTTATTGGGAACCAGAATCGTATAATCAATCATTGTTGGTATTTATTAATTTTGCTCTTACGCACCCTTGTTCACTGCTCAAACTCTAATACGAATAGCTGGACTGAATCCATGTGACCAAGCCTCTCAGCCGTTAACCGGTGGTATCATGTACCCCCTCAATCACTTCTTGGATAAGCTAAGGGCGTAATTCCAATGATATCAAGCACTCAACCCAACATCTCCAAACTTTACCTTCCCAATCCAGATGGAAAATCCAATACTTCAATGTCTTTTGGAGGTGGATAGCGGCATGGGGTAGAGGAGAGGGTAAATGTTGAGAGATGTGTGGGATGATTTAATGACATCTGCATAGTTTGTAAACAGCAGTAGGCCATGGAAAGATTCCTGACAGAAATGGTTGTCATACTGGAAGTGACCCCAAGCCAAGGAATAACATCTTCTTCTCCAGTCCTCGGGATGATGGCCAGTTGAAAGCAAAATCGGATAAGTGATAATATGGACAGACAGGTTTGTGAAGAATGACGTAGATAATTTGAATCTTTCTGACATCAACACTAAAAAAAAGCCAGCCAGGTTTAGATTTGAAAGAAATGTTTAAATTTGGAATTGCTCATCTCAATTGAATTCTTGGCACCAGGCAGAATCTTAGATTATCTTCACTGAAATGCTGAAAGTCTGTTTGCAAACTATCATTCTTTTCTGAGTTGTTTTCAATGTGCTACCTTTCATCTCGAACAAAGGGAAATGAATTTAGCAATTTTTTGGACTATGTACCTCTAATAGTTGCGTGCTGCTCCTTGAATGGTTAACTTGATGATATGATAAAAGGATCTTTTGTGCTGCAGCTTAACAACAGCAAGGATTCCCTGACCTCCTGGCTGTCTGATTTTCTCAATTCCAAATATTTACACTTTTTGGCCCATATTGCAGGCGGCACTTATTTTCTTGCATCACAGCGAATGCACAATTGCATTGGTGACATGAGATACTGTACCCAGGTCGCACAATCAGAATCTATGCTGTTATTTGGGTTTTTCAATCACAGCTATCATGTTCCAGCAGGCTGACAATAACAGCCCACACTTATCCATCTTTCACATGCATAGGTAAACAAAACAATTTCTCTCTGGCTATGAACCCAGCTTGCAGTAACTTGCTCTGTTCTATTTACAGACAGCTTCTGTTCTGCTTTCACTCACTCCTGTGTTGGAAATGTCAAATGCATAAGCAGACTTACAGACTGGGAAGTGAACCCAATTTATGGACTGGGATTTAGAAATACCCCACTTCCCAGCTGGGAATTCGGGCTGGGGGGGTATGGGGAGCCTGATTTGGCCAACTCTGGAAATCACGTGGAAGGCAATGGAGACAACAAGGTGCAAGGCTGGATGAACACA